TGGCGGTGATCCGGCGTATCACCGGATCCGGCAGATCACCGGGAAATCCCTTAACCATTGCCGGGCTGAGCCATGTGTCCCACTTGGACCTGAGCAGACTCCATCGCCACCCCGTCTCATCAGCCTCGCCCGATAGTGGGGTGCAACCAAGTCGTGTTAAAGTACGCCATTGACAGTTATAGACACGTTAGGGGCAACCTGTAGAAGCTGGCTGACGGTAGAAATGCGATACGGAACTGAACTGTATTCCCACTCGGTTGTAGGCGCTACTATAATGCGCAGCCACGCCCGGTGAGCGGGGCTGACAGGCAGCCGATGCGGCCGGATTAACCGCCCCACTTCGCCAATGTAAACAAAACACCAGTCTGCTCCCCGCCCGGGGAAAAACGTCATCACCAGCCGGTACGAAACTTTCGAAACAACAGCTATTTAACGCGCCTTCAATAAGAGCTACGACAGCGAGAGGCCCCACTATAGCAAAAAAGGTGAATCCGTACGCTGCAGATTGAAATGCATCGTTATGTCCCAGCTCCGTGGTGAGGCCGACCTGCATCGCAGCAAGGACGATGGCGATGTAAATGGCGGCACTGGCCAACCAGGCAAAGTTATCGCGGAAGAAAGCGCTGTATCGGTCCCATGCGGGCATGTATCCTCGCAACGGGTTCTGCAAGAAGTATATCTTATTCAGTCGACTGAGGCGTAACTCGCCGTGGTAGAAGCGTCGCTCGATGTCAGGGTAGATCCGCTTCCTCGCCCTCCGTCGCTGGGCATTATATGATGAGAGACGGTGCCGAGGCTTTTGGAGAATCTGCTGTCATCGCAGTTGAGACAAGGAGACTTTGAGCAGGTCGATGGAAAGGGCAAGCCGAGGACGTCAAACGCTTGGGAAGGGGCTGGACATTGAGCTCTTGTGTCGACATGGCCCGAAATCGGTCTGTAACGTCCAGCATCACTACGAGTTGGGGCGACCCAACCAGGAAGATGCGCCTGATTGGCATGCAGGAACCTATCCAACTAGACTGACAGCCGGAGCACAGGCTAACGGTTAGGGTCCCGTGTCCACGATGCAGTTCGCTTCCGGCATCGCGCATCTTCCGCAGACTTGCGCGTTCTTGCACTGGAACGACTTGTGACCGATGGCCTGACAGTTGTAGCACTGCACGGGCCCCGTCCGTCGCTCAAACACGTTTGTGATTGCCGATTCGCCGGCCAGGTCAAAGTAGTGGCCGTCGATGAGCCGTCTCGCGTCGCTTTCCTTGGTGACATAGACCACCATCGAACCGTAGGCTTTTCCCGATTGCTTGTTGCTCAGCCAAGACACCTTGGCGATGTTGACATTGTTCTCCGCCCCAAGAGCTTCGGCTGCTCCCGGCAGCACATTCCCTTCTGCATCCACCACCATGGTCCTGTTCGCATTGTCCACCTTCACTGGGTAGAGCTGGTCCCTCATGACTCTTGCACCCACGATGGCTGTCTTCAGTTCGTTTTCGTTTCTGCAGATTACTTTAATGCGCTCCGCTGCCCGGGCGTCCCTCACGACCGCCGCGCACCACCAAGTTGCCTGATCATCTGTGGCCCTCATCTCTCCTTCGATGGCATGTCGGATAGCGCCCACCTGCACGTGGTCTCTGTTCGCTTCTTCCACTCGCGACGTGTCGATCGTGCAATAGAGCGAATCGGCGAGAGGGGCGGCCGCCGTCTTGCTCACGGTTGCGGGCTGCGACGGCTGCTGCGACCCCGCCACCTCGGCGAAAGATCGCGGCGGGGTAACGGATGGGCGCGCCGTGATGGCTTCCAGTTTGTCGCTCAGCCGCTTCAGCTCCAGGCCCATATGTTGTTTCGTCTCTTCCAGCGCGACTTTCAGATCCCAAAGTAAGCTTCTCTGCTCCTCGGCCGTCTCCTTCAGGTTTTGAATAGTCTCTTGCTGAGTGCGGATCAGCTCGCTCTGACCACGGATCATTTGCTTGAACCCCGCGAACTCGGCGCGGCAATCGCCCAGAAGCTCCGAAACGTGCTGGACCGCCGCCGGCACCTCAACACCGTCGCTGGCTCCACTCCTCGCATCGGTCGCGCAATTGCCCTCCTTCGCCAGCGTCGCTTTCGCAGTCGTTCGCGTCGCATACCGGCCGTTCCGACTCGATTCATTCCCCGAATCGTCGATTTTCCGCTTCACGACCCGACGCCCCGTCGGCGTCAGGCTACCCCGCGGCCCCACCACGGACCCCGCATTTGCGGCCAAGCTCATCTTGCGAACTGGACCACAACCACACACTCATTTCTGATTGAGATAGCAATAGAAGTCTTTGAGATATTCTTTTCGTCCTCCAACGTATCGAGGTCGCTTTGTCACGTACCGCCCCTGTACGGAGGCCGATAGGGCGCACTGGCGCAAAACCCATTTCGGGCCTAGCATGGGTGCGCCATCGTCCTGCAGGTACTTTCGGCCGACTCTAAACAGGTACCGAACCTGCTGCAGGACAGCGGAGTGAGGATGTGCGAAGAGGATGTTGGCCTTGGAAACAAGGCTGCAAAGCGGCCAGCGCCTTAATGTCTACAGAGTTATCGCCCAACTTGCGGTGGGCAATTGATGGCCGGACATTCCAGGCGTTTTTATTGAGCCATGTGTGGACTTCGTCTGTTACCTGTTACGCGTCTTGTGCCATGGCAGAAATTCCAGAGAGGAGGTCGCAAGCAGTCGCAGGCCGCCCACAGCACTACCCTGCACGCAGGGCCAAAAAGCGCGGGCATCAACACTTAGGGAGGAAACCCGTGGGACAAGGAATGCTTGATTTCCTATCTGATACTGGCATGGAGCTGCTGTTCTTTTACCTGTGCCATTGAGGCCATAGGCATGACTCACTGTAGGCAACAGTGCTGTGCCTGCAGGTTGCACCTGTGCAGCCTGCAGCCATACCCGGTTGTTGGCTTTGGCACATGAGGCTCGTCTCTTGCAACAGACCGCTTCACAAGTCAACAAAATGAAGAGGCCAAAACTTCCGACGAACGATCATAGACACCCCAAACTGATTTGCAACATATTCCAGCTCATTCGTGAAGTAGGGATTACTTGCCTACCGATGTGCTCAATGTTGTGTGTTAGAGCAGCTATGCCAGTTCAGGTCAGGCGCTGAACCATGACACGGCGGACCGTTGCCGTCCCTGATTCGCGCAGCGGGTTAGGGGTCATCAGTGGTCATGCCCCGCAGCGGGCCGGCCACGGTCGAAGCCGGGCCACGCGCCCGCTCTCCCATTGCCCCGTGCGGAACACGGCCGATGAGAGTTGCCGAAAATGTTTCTGCCATCTCCTGGCGTAGAAGCTCACTAATCCAGGCATTTGGACGTGGAATCCTTGCGAGGATGGCGACATTCGCATTGCCACTGGGAAACTTGACATGGTGAGCAATGGCCGTGGACTAGCGAAATGTTGGCCAGCGCGTTGCCTGTCCTGGCACGGGCTAAAATCGTGCTCCAGTTGGCAGGGTACAAGGCTTGATGTACAACACTGTGTCCGGTGAAGCCACTAGCCCATTTTGTCCAATTTTTGGTGCGATTTTGAGTTTTGCGCCAGTGACCTCTATGGGCTGCCGTAGACAGGGTCGGGCGTAATAAATCCATGGCATGCCATGCCATGCCGTAGCCAGGGGCACAGGGCTGCTTCCCCGCGTTGACCCCATGACGCAGCAATATTGAAGCCATCGGCAGGGGTGCCACGTCGCCGTCTGCTTCACGAGTCGCGAGCCCGGCATGTCCAGTCACCAGTGTCGCACACACATCGCGGAGCGGGCCCTGTGGTGGCGTTTGGATGGGCAGCTGGTCCCTGCAGCGGGCGGGCAATTACCGCAAAGCGAGTCGTGTGGATGGAGCAATTCAGCAAGCCAGCCGGGCAATTACCAAAACGGAACTATGTTAGTGTGCCTGCGAAACTGGGGAAGCGAACTTACTCAGCGCGTGCCGTGCGTTCATCGGCCCGACATCTCACAGCGGCGCTGCCGCTTGGACAAGGGAGCGCGTCCGGCCATTGATGAAGCGGGCGGGCAATTACCCTTTGTCAACGGTCTCCTGGCCGGATGGACGTGACGGCGAACCAGTGTCTCGCCTTGAAGTCAACGACGCAACATCGGCGCGATGCTGAACTTCGCCGTCTATCAGACGAAGCCGGGCGGGTCGCTGGACGAAGCCCCTGGCCAGGCTTGCGATCGGTGTCGACAGAAAAAGTCGCGGTGCGACAGGCACCGTCCGGTGTGCAGCAACTGCGGCAAGACGGGCTCGACGTGCACCTGGGTCGCGGTCCCGAAGCGCAGAGGGCCGCGCCCGCGCAAGAGGCGGACGACGACGACGGCGGCGGCGGCATGTGTCCGGCCGCCGTCGGTGAACCCCGCCCCGGACGGCACGCCCGGTCCGAGTGCCTCGCCCTCGTCGGCTGGCAACATGGGCAGTGCCGATGCCATGGACCACTTCTCGGACGGCTTCTACGAGCACATCCCTTTGACAGCCGGCGCCGGGTCCCCGGACTGGACACGGCCTTGCGTCCAGTCCCCTCCCACGAGCTCCTCATCGGGGTCCCACGAGGAGACCAACCCCACGGCAAGACACGCCGCCTATGGCACCTACGTCGACCCCTTGCTGGCAGATCCGAGCGTTGTCAACATCTTCAACCCCTCTCCGTCATACTGGTCATGCGTTGACGAATCCTTCCAACTGCCTCGCGCCTTCTTCGAGCCGTACGTGCGCCTGTTCATCGACAGGCTGTATCCCATATTCCCGGTCTTGGACTGCCAATGCCTGATGTGGCTGGTGCATACGGATGAGGCCCTGTCACAGCCTCTTACGAGGGCGGAGTATGCCCTGCTGACCTCCCTCTCTGCCGGGGTGGTCATGCAGCTCAACATTGAGGACCTGCCCGGCCAAGCAAGCGCCGGCAACAATGCCGAGGCGGCTTCAACGCCGCTCGCCCAGTTACCTTCGTCGGCGCAATTCTTCGCCTCACAGTGCCTCCAGGCACGTCAGGGGTATTCGTTCATCGAGGAAGCCGATGAGTGGACCGTCATGACGTCTTTCTTCCTCTTCGCCTACTACGGGAACCTTGACCAGAGTCGCTCGGCCTGGCATTACCTCCGCGAGGCCGTCGGGCTTGCGCAATCGCTGGGTGTCGATGATCCAGAGCTGTATGCCGACTGGGACACAAATACGCAGCAGCGAAGGCTGCGGCTGTTCTGGCTCCTCTTCATCACCGAACGGTATGGAACAGTGTGTGCTAACTGGTCCGCCGGAAAGAGGCTGATTGTTTCCGCTGCAGGGCGTATGCCGTCCAGCATCGTCGCCAAGTAATACTCCGGTCGTCAATTGACCTTCCCAAGGTCTTTGATTCGCATGACCCGAAGCTCATATACGGCTTCGTCGCACTCACGAAAGTCTTCAAGACCATTGACAACGACTTCATCGCCGCCTGGAGTGTCCTGCGCTCGGCCAAAGAGACCCATGATCCTGGCAATGCCATGCAGAAAATCTTGGAGCAAGAGGATCTCATGGGCTGTCTGTCAATGTCGGAGATTGACGAGACCCAGCGCCTGGACGTTCTGATCACCCAGCATTGGCTGCGCGTCCTTGTGTGCAAGATGCAAATTCGGCGGGCGACAGCCACTGCGAGTGCCAATGCCCCCGAGCCCGGGCAAAGGGTCAGCGCTGGCTACGGAAAGTTTGGCCAGAAATATGTCCTCGAGACTTGCAGCAGTCTGTTGGAGATTATCTCAAAGGCAAACCAACTGTCACTGGAAGCTCATGGGATAGGCATGGTAGTGTTCACTCATCCTCCCTCGGGTTGAGACAACGCTAATAGTCAATAATCGCAGGAGCAAAAGATATCAGACGCAGCAAATTGCCTTTGCGACACCCTCTCAGCCTATAAATCGGCCGCTTCCGCGAGCGTCAGCGTCTACGGCGCACCAGACATGCTGCATAATTTCCTTCTATTCCTGTCGCGCTTTCGAAATCACGAGAGCCAATATCTGGGGCCCCTTGCACACAAGGCAAATCTCGTTCTGACCCCGAGGTTTAGGTCGCCGGACCTGCCTCTGGTATGCTTGGTCGATGAGAACCAGGACGATGCAGCAATAGTTTCTTCATGAGAGCAGCCGTCCAATGTCGCAACAGCACATGCAGCTGCGCTGTGAAAGGCTCGCGACGAATCATCACCACGTGTAGAATATGCAAAGGCATGAAGAGCTAGTCGGTGACATGACGTTACGATATGAGAATCACTATTTTCAGTCACGCGATTCTCTATTTTCACACCTCGCCGCGACACCTAGCCGTGACGCGTAGCATGGTGACTGAAAATAGGAATACTCTACGGTATAGGAGGACAAGAGGCTTCACCGCAAACGAGCATCCTTGGGATCAGGCGAAGACGATGCTGTCGACCACTGGGGCCTTACCAGACGCAAGGTCGCAATTGGGCGGGACGGCCATCATATTGGTCGATATCAAGAGGCAGATAGATTTGAATGAAAGGCCAACCTAATAGGATGAGAGTGACGCTGTCGCTGGCTATGACGCTTCAAGCAGCGTTGACTTGATCACTCAAAGCTGGGGGGTGTGTCGCACAGAGAGCCAGCACCACGTCGTATATCCTACATGCTCAGCGTGGTTGCTCACAGAATCCCGATGCTATAACACGCATGTTAAGACCGAACACTTGCCTGTGTGGTGCTTTGGACCCCTGGCTGCGGTCAAAGCTCAAACGTAGGCTGTGTCACGGATCGCCAACAGCCGCGTTTACAAGGACTCTGCACCACAAAGCAGGTTCTCCTTTGTGTATAAAGAGCTGCGCATTGCCATGCATTTAGCTAGCTCGTCAAGATAATTCTCATCAATTGACTGACACCAAAGATGGACCCAGTCAGGGTGTCCATTAACACCGTTACCTTGCTTGGTTGCTTGAGATTGGCTGATTACGTAACGAGCGACGACGAGTAAGCCGTCCTCCGATCAACCAAAGGTAAGCATTTTGTCTTACTCGGGTTAACTTTGAGTTGCTCGACTAATTTGCCGTGACCCCTTTTTTGGTCGAGCATCGACAGACGAACTTTCGGCTGTGCCACCTGCTCTCCATCTCGTTGAGGTCCTGTAATGTCTGGCGTTGGCTGTCTCCCAAATCAACCATGCCTTAACCTTTATTCTTTCGGCCCAATGGCAGCCTTGGACAAGCTACACCCTCCAGGACCTCCTCTGAGCCGACCGACTCTACTCCGTCAAGCTTCCCGAACCGTGTTTCGACCCCGACCGATCTGCCCGCCGATGTGCCCGCTACCGGGCCCGTTTCCCACGATCGAGACTTGCCAAAGGCATCTCCGTGCGCTTTCCCCATAGAGTGGGAGAAAATTCGCTATGATAGGAAGCCCGTGCCGTCCATTCGATATCGTCAGCCTCATAAGCGTGCCATCAACTCGAAGGCCCAGCCGTCGGCAATCTACAGGCACGGTGCACAACTTACCACAGACGGGGACAACAAGTACTGGCTCTGCAAGTATTGCCATTGTAGCGGCCATCACGAGACTGCGCTGTTTGCCAGCGAGAGTACGACCAGCGTCATCTATCACCTGAAGCACCACCACAACCTGGAAGAATTTGGCTACAAAGTGGTAGGGTCCAACCCTTTCAGCATGGCTCAGGGGGTTACAAAGCCGGTATCATACCTCGGGGGCCGACGCGTGGTGTTCAACGACCTCCAATTCAGAACCGACTCCTGCTCCTGGTGTCTGCGATAACCATGTGGCCTGGCAGACTTGTCGTCTTGAACCTTCTGTGTCGATAGTGTTCATAATACCCCCAATAGAATCAGAATGCCTCGCGGTTACAAAGCCAATCCTCTACCACCTTTGTTCCACTTATAGAGAGAAAGAGCCCGACGTCTTGCGCTGAACTCGGCACTGCTCGCGGCCAATGGCCCTTCTGCGCTTCCCAGAGCTGATCGCAAGATCTTTTGGAAAGTTTTCTATAGCAAGTCCTTAGCTTGTACTGCGCCTTATGTGCATACGGACATATTACAAGTTGAAGTCGCGGAAAAGGTTAAGGAGACCCGTACCTGGAATTCTGTGTTTAATGTAACGGCACACACTTCATGAGCTCGAATAACTTTCTCAGCAGCTTGCTGGACTGCTTGGCAGTAATTAGGCCCAATCTGGGGCATGCGCTCCGCGAGTAGCAGAAGTGGGAACCCTCCGTGCAAAAGGTAGATACCAAATAAATAGGGCATGAAATTGAGCTCCGGGTCAAGGGACAAGATGATGGAAAGAGATTGGGACGCAGAGATGGTGTGTGACACGGCCGTCGCGAAGGACGTCGAACCAATCCATTCTTCGTTATCATCCAACATTGTTATCGGGTCCCATATGCCATACAGTAAGACATGCATAGTATGGAGGATGTGCGTGCTATAGGCCTTGACGACCACAGCGATGGATTGGCTCGCCAAGTCGGTCGGAAGATTGGGACATGCGAGAGTCTCAAGACCACCTTCTCCAATGATTCTGTTGAGGTTCACTTCATAATCACATAAGAGGCCCCGAATCAGAGCCACAGAGTGAGAGTCCTCCTGCTCGCCAAGCCTTGGGTGTCGGCGTTTGTGGTGCACGTCAAGGATGTCGCCAAGAATCGTCGCGAGAGGGAGGAAGTATTCAAAGAATCCAGTCCCACTGGGAAGCACAGGTGGACCAATAAATCTCAGCGGCATATCGTTAGGAGACACCACATCGAGATTCTCCCACACAATATCCGGCAGTGGACCTTGGAGAATTGGAGTCAGTATTCAAATACCTGAACCAGGAAGGATGAGCAACTATTTACAGTAGACTTCGCAAGATGAGTCAGGAATAGATGGCGGAGTGTTGAATGACAGACTCAGGTGCCGGTCGAGAATATATATCAACCAAAACACTCTTCTGCGCTCCTCTCGACGTTCCGCGTTTAATACTGACGCGTCCTCAGTATTGTTGCAGATGCATATGGGGTTCGAGCAGGGCGAGACAGGCTCCGGGCATCTTTCGTCTTCGCGATGCAGTTGTAGGGAAAGTGTCAACCTAACGGCCTTTGACCACCACTTGTAACAGTCGCTCTTGAAGTCACCGCCTGATACACCAATTGAGAGCAGAGCATAGGTCAGGACATCATCAATCGCCCCGACCGGTTTGGTCGCGGCAGAAATCAGCGGGACGCTGGCCGGATTCGGTGTGGCGAACTGAAGAGTATCGCATTCAGGTCGAATACCACCTGTGATGGTGTCAGCTTTCGGTCGGCTCAGTAGTTAAATCTGTTGGTCTGAACCGTGGACCCGTCTCCACCTATCCAGATCTCTAGCCGCGATCAGCGATACAGCGAGATCATACAACTCATTAACAACCCGAGTCCGGACGCCTGGGACATGCAGCGACATGACGTCGGCAGTCTGCGCAACACACCACAGGATGGCGGCTAGGAGTGCTGGCGTGGTCTCACGGGGGTTTGTTGGGTGAACCACAGACTTTTTTCGGAAAACCCTCGTTGGTATATACAGTGTGGCTAACAAACCGACAGACCTAGACCGGCACCTCCGGGCGGTCGGTTTGGGTTGGTAAAAGCGCCTGGTCGGTCGGTTTAGGGCTGTCTGGCTCAGCAGCCCGGTCGGTCTAGGTCTGAAGGTACGTACCGAGGCTCTGTCCCAGTTGGTGAATGCAATAGTTAAGTCGGTAACATGTAACATGCGTTGCGTTCTTGAGCAGCACTGCTACCGTATTTACACCAGACCTCTCAATAGCCACTGCTTTTGAAGTTGATCTGCCTCGACTGCCTCAGGCGCTAGGCGATTGCGCTCGTCCGTAATCATCTTCTTCGCCTGACTGAACACCCTCTCGCATTCAGCACTCATGCCAGGAATTGAGAACAGATCTAGTGCCATCCTGTACAAGACCGGATATTCCAATTGATGTTTGTCCAACCATTCAAGAGGGTCTGCAATATCGAGATCGTGGGCGTAGATTGGCCGTGTCTGGAATATGTCCAGCTCGGTCACCGCCTTCACCTTCTTTCGTTGTGTATTCAGTGAGCGGATCGACCTCTTCCCAAAGGAACTGTAGTCGTTGACCTCAGCTTCGATCTCAACATCACCTTCCAGAAGTCCCGCTTGAGCTTGAGTGTCGACTTCGGCCTGTCGCGCGTATTCGTCGAATAGGCTACCCACAGCGGACTGCATGTCGCTGTACCATTGCGGCCTATTCATCGCACTTTTCCAGTGCCGCTCGAAATAGTCGTACCCATACGACGGATGGAGCGCCAAGGCGGCTCGGTACACAGGTGCAGTGTGGATAACAGACCGACCGATCCAGACCGACCCCTTCGGTCTGTCGGTCTGGGTTCGTCGAGGCTCCCGGTCTGTCGGTCTTGGTCCGTCTGGCTTCATCAGCCCGGTCGGTCTAGGTCTGACAGTCCGATCCCGAGATTCTACCGTGCTATGAGACGGGCTGGCTGTCAAACACTTGGATCGACATCATGCAAGATTGTGCCAATTGCACAATGCAATTTGGATAGTAGCTGTCAATTGAGGAGAATCATACGAAAGTCTCCATTTAGCGGATCACACAACTGTGTGGCTCTTATATGGAAACGAAGACTTTACTATACCGAGCAGCTCGAGGCGGCAACATATAGTTCGCCGATTTAGCGTGACGCTACTGGTACATGATTAAGCTACGAATGGTCAAGTGCATGACATGCGCAGTTTGCGGCAATTGAAACCAAAGTCTTCGGCCTGCAAATTCGAGATTTGCGCTATCAGGAAGCACAAGTTGGC